TAAAACAATAGAAACTGTGCGCCACCTAGGAACCAAATCTAGAACCCGACACTCGAAATTTTTGCCCTGTTGCAATCGTACCCCGTTACAATTCACCCCACTCTCCCCTACCCTGCACTGTAAAAAAATTCGGTAAATCTTTAACCAGTATTTGGTGCAGAGTTTATCATTATCCCAAAGTTTAGATAAATGAAAGATCATTTTATTTTAGTTACACCATAAGTCGTGAAGTGTGATCAAAAAGTACTACCACGGAGCAACTGACTGCACCAAAATTTGGTAAAATGCACAAAACTTTGATGGTTACTGTAAACTGAACTATATTTGTTTACGACGTCATGTTTTCTTTACAACTTAGTCTCAGTGTATGTTGCGTGTTGTTTCAAAGATCAACTTATTTAAGTATGTAAATGGTTTATTTGCATTGAATAAAGTTCATTTCTCTTATGTTGACTTTATAAATTTGGTTGGCGGTATAAAATGGTTTGAGGTAAGAATAAACCTACTTACTGTAAATAGTTTTGTTTCTATAAATAGCAATCTTGGCCAGCATTTGAGCGCTTTAAAAATGCCTAACCTCTGCAACCTCCTCTGCTTTTATAAAAGAAAAGAAAAAAATAGGTGTTTTATGTCTACAAACCACCTACTTTTGGTGCAACCTACTACTGATATTTGGAGCTAGTGAAAATACCTAAAATATAGTAAAATTTTGCTCCATTTAATGCCAGTGCCAATTTTTTGGTGCAACGTGGCTCGGGATTTTTAACAGCGTAACATTGGATTTGATGGATTTTTATTTTGCTTCTACAAACGGAACAAAATCAGCATGGTTTTAAAGTATTTTTAGTGTATACCAACCAGAAGAAAAATAGCTAAGATTCCCATATATATTTTTACTTCTAATTAGGACGTCAGAAAATATATATATACATATAAAAATTGACACCGGTGTCTCATCTGCGTCAAAGGATCAACAGTCACGTTTATTTTCATGTCATGTAACAGAATTAAATTAAATTATGACGGAAAACAGTAAATTGATTACATTTCAAACCCGCATCTCCATTTACAAATTACTTTTTACAGTTAATTTCTGCCGAACTTTGGGTAAAAAAAAATTTCTGTGGAAAATCTGTTTTTGTAACGTCACACAAACGCAGTGGTTCCCATTTTTATTCTGGTATGGAACTCTTAATGATCTACTTGATGTCCGTGGAACCCCTGAGACTTTATGAATAAATTTTATCAGCTAATGTAAACATTTTAATCAATGAAAGATTATTAATTATTCTGAAAATATTTAGTGACTGAAACTTAAACTGAATATGAAAGACGAATCGTGGTTTTCGTTGAAATAAAAACGAAAAGGAAAGAAAATAAATATTGAAAATGTTTATCAGAGAAACACGGTTCGTCATTGTTGAATTTAGTAATTTTTAATAAAGGCAAAATAGCAATGAAATTTTTTGGCTGCCAGCTGGAGTGACAAGGAGCCTAGTTTGGAAGGCCTCGGTCTACCCTGGGTTGCAGTGGCAGGATTGATGATGATACCCTTTTCATCATTCAGTAAATAATTTGTAATGTGGGTTTGTTATTCTTCTTCACATGCACTTTAAAAAAACAGTTTTATGCAAGCAATGGAAATAATAAACAAATAATGGATAATTAATTCGATAAAAATTTAATTACAGGTTTCGAAAATCATTCTCTGAACCCCCATGGAACCAGAGAGTTCCGCAAAACGGCTTTTGGTAACCGCTGTACTCGAGCATTACTAAATAATATCGCATATTGTATAGTATGATTAAACTATGCCCCTTTTTATGTATTGCGCTGATTGCTGTTATTATACCTTACTTGTTATTTATCATGTAAAATCCAATACTTTAAAGAAATAATATCACAGCTTATCAACTTGTCTTCTCTTTTTTAATAAAGATATCATCTTAAAATCTTCATTAAAAACTTTGATGGATTAATTCTTTTTTTTATTCCTCTTATTAAGTTCTAGCCGCCTCCGGTGACAGCAAATCCGCCTTTTTAAATCAGTAGACTTTTAAATATTTCGAAATTTAAAACCATACAGTCAAAAATCAACAACGTGCAAAATTAAAAAATCAAAACGTGCAATATCAGCATGCAATGTCAAAAATAAAAAATGTGCTAACATTTTAAACAAAGCAAATATGCTAATTAGCTAACAGGCGCTTTAAATTGACAATAAAACAGATTAATAAGTTTGTTATCGTTGTGTTCGCAAATAAAACAGTCTCTTGCAAACCAATGAATTTTATTTGTAAGGAATTTTTTTTCATTCAAATGAAATATACTTTGCCATAATTTTCATTAAGTTAAAAAAGTGCACACTTCTAAAGCAATAAATAATACATTTTGAGGCAAAAAATAAACTTAAAAAATAATTTACCTTATTGATGGCGCTGTTCAAGAGCTAAAAGACAACATAACCAAGTAAATTAGTATTTACGTTAACAAAAATTTAAAATCATTCTTTGTATATGACACGTTTTATTAGTAAACCTAAATGAATATTTTTTTTCAGTTAAAAGTTTCTAATATTTCGATCCAGGATTTTTAAGACTTAAATAATCTAGACCTTATATAAGTATGTTTAATGCATCTAACTGCTGTTGGTGCTTGACATTAAAAATCTGGATTATTTTATAAATTGTATGATATTTCTATTTAAAGCATAATAATATATAGTTAGAGAATTAAAAATGTGTGTTTAAAAACAGGTAAAAAAAATATTATTTCATTAATCTTTGGCAATGTCTCTTTACTGAAATGCTGTTTGGATGAAAAAGAATAAGTATATATATATTTGAAATTACTTCTCACGGTTAAATACAGCATTTCTTTATTTTTTAATTTATGTTAGCTTACCTATTTGTCTCTAGCACTTGTTTTTGCTTCAGCTTTCAGCGAGTTTTAGTTAGGTTCACAGAATTTTGTCTACTTTTTTTTATTTTGAAACATTCAGTAACAGCGCCGTTTCCATGACAGCGCAACAATGAAACAATAAAAACAGCGCGCTTTTTTTTTTTTTTTTTTTTTTTAAATATTGCGTACGGACAACTCATCGTAGACGGCTGAAAAATATCACAAACGATTTAAAAATAAATATTAGTATCTGTAACAAAAAACGCCAGGGCAATCGGTGATGCTATTCTAAAGAAATAAGGGAAAAAATAGGTTTTAACAATTGAATTTCATATTTTCGATATTGGGCCGAACGCATTCCCGGAAAAACTCACGATTTAATCCTTTCCTGAAGGTTCACAAAATTTCGTCCACTTTTTTTCTTTTGAAACATTTTGTAACAATGCCGTTTCTGTGACAGCGCAATATTAGAACAATGAAAAAACAAGTTTTTTTCCCAATATAATATGCAAACAACTCATCGGCTGAAAAATATCACAAAATGATATTAGCAATATGAAACAAGCAAAAAACCACATTGCCAATCAGTCCAATTTCACGTTTTCGTTATTGCGCCCGAACTACATGACACCGAAAGTGGTGCAAACCGACCTTGAAAAATCGCAAATTTCAGGAAAAAAGCGCGATCCAAATCGGTTCTCCCGTTGTTGAGTTACTACAGACAGATTTTCGCTTTTGCATATAAAGATGTTATGATATTTAGTTAAAATCTTTAAATGAAGTTTGCGTTTTTGTGATGATGAGAAGTTTCTGAAATAAAATGGACAATTCAGATTATAATAACAACACCTTTATTTTACATATTTATTGCATCTAGAATAAAATAGTATGATGTATTAGAATTTTTACGTAATGCATTCAAATAATTTTTCGAAATAAATATATTCATAAAATTTATAAACATAAAAGATCTAACAAATAAACAAATTCTTTCTAAACATAATTAAGAAAAAATAATGAATAACTATTTACTTTATTTACAAATTGTTAAAAAATATTTTAATCAGTGCAATTCCCTATTTTATTATGTTATAACATAAATCAATTGTGGTTCATAACGTAAATAATATAAATTATAAATAATATGAAAAATTATAAATAATAAAAAATTGTAAATAATAAAAAATTGTAAATAATAAAAAATTGTAAATAATATAAATTATAAATAAAGTTAATTATCTAAATAATATAAATTATAAATAATATAAACTTGTTTTCAAATTTTGAGTTATATTGTTGGAAAAAAGCACTGTTTTGATAAAACTATATTTCAAACTTGTAATAGTTTCTTACCGTAAACTAGATGCTGATCAGAATTATTCATTTAAACTGAAGAAAGAAGAAAACTTAATCCTAGGTGTAGGCTTCAAGCTCACCCAACTTCAGATTGATGTGTCTGGAAAGTAAAAGTGGATAATGCGCAATTAAAGCACATTACCACCCTCATGTAGTTAGCCTCAAAATTAACGGAGACTTAACCTCCATGACCCTTGGCCTACAACGGGGATGTTGTGTAAATGATTTCTTTTTTATTTATTATTCATTTAAACTATAAACTATACTGAGCAATGTGTATAGTCGCAACTTTTGATTTTGTTTCATAATTATTTATTTGTTTAATTTTGTCAAAATTATTTTGTAATTATTTTCATGTAACATATTTATCATTTGATTTTGTTCTAATAAGTCAAAAATTCCCAAAGTCTTTGTCGTTTAGATGTTTGTTTTTTTGATTGATGATTTTTGTCTTTTAATTATTTAATTTAAAATATCTGTTTTCAAGGAAAATTTTAAAAAATTAAATACAAACTACTAAATAATAGGCCTTAAGTAAGTGAATTACATGAGATAAAGCAGCAAACCTCTTTCCTGTTTGACTGAAGTTTAACATTTCAGTTTTGCAAAAAAAAAAAAAAAAAAAAAAAAAAAAAAAAAAAAAAAAAAAAAAAAAAAAAAAAAAANAGAAATATTAAGAGAAGTAACATAAAATATAAATTCGTAAAATATCTAAATTTCTACTCTAACATATAAAGCATTTTCTTAAAAGTAACATAATTATAATCTGCTAACATAATAATGCTGAACTCTTCATTATCTGTGCCAAGTCGTACTAAAACATTTACATTTTTTAAATTATCGACAACTATACTTTAAATCCAGAATCACTGAGAAAATATTTTCATTTATCTGTCCAGGAACCAAATAAGCATAAGAGCAAGTATTTTCATCAAATCTAAGAACAGCAATTTTCCTGTTAGCCTTGCTATCAGTCACATATTGCTTGGTCACAAACACACAAGTCTTTCAGAACATCGTTTCAGCACTTTTGTTCGAAACATCCCGTTTGTGCATTTTGATTAAGTTCATGTGTTCATCATTGAACTACATCATTGATATCTCCAACATCCCTTTTAACGAAATTGTTTGATTTTTCGCCCCATTAAAAATTCCAGGTAGCATTAAAGTCCCAGTGCTGCTGCATGCTTTTGTGCTTTCAGTCTCAAATCAGCAATGCTTGAATTTTTATTATTAAGTCTTTCAGCAGCCATCAATGCAGATAAACTGAACGGATGAGTAGGGGTCGGGTAGAATAAGAAACTATGGTGAGGCGGTGGTGCAGTTGGTGCAGCTCCACCCGTGGTAGCCCCACTCGTGGTTGTGTTTGCTACTGCAGCGGCTGCCGCTGCTGCTGCGTAATGCTGGGCTGCTGCAATGAAAGCAGGGTCTGCGTAGGGTAGATAGTGGGCACCTGGCACCAAATAACGTTCTTGCGGCAATCGTGCCATTGCACTGGAGACATTTATGTAGGGGGCTATTCTAGAAGACTCTATGGGAGTACTCGTTGCCATCATCAAGTCAGAGGATAGAGAATTTGGTCCAACTGTAAAGAACAAAAAAATAATTAGCATTCTCATCTTTCAAATAAATAAAAAATATTAAATTTCATAAACTACCATGCCATCTTCCAAATAAAATATCATATCTCACTCCAGAATTCGATATAGGTCACAATTCAGTAATAACTTACAATTTAGCACGATTCATAATTATTCAATAGCCCTTAATTAAGACTAATATAAAAATTTACGGTAAGAAATGATATCTTTTAGCTACAGCGGAATGCACTAAAATTAATTATGTGATTTTCGCAAACTGCCATGCCATCTTCCGTATAAAATATGTCACGCTCCAGAATTCGATCTAAGTCGCAATTCGGTAAAAACCTACAACAATTTAGCACGAATCACAATTATTCAATAGTCATTAGTTAGGACTTAGACTGATATGTTTTATGCCATAAGTACAGAGATATATAAATAAATTTTAAGTAAATTAACCAATGAGAAGTTTTGACTGCGAATGTTTCACCTTTTTTAAAAAAAAACTCAAGTCGTGAAAGGTTCTGTACTTTAAAAAAGAAAACATTACGAATGAAAAGCTTTATTTTGCATTTGATAAAAATTTACTGTAAGAAATGCAATCTTTTAACTACAGTGGATACGCTGAAAATAATTATGTGATTTACGCATCTTCCGAATAAAATAGTTTGCATAAATATTGCACAGGATAATATTCTGTACACATTTAAAAACTAATTAATTTTTATAGATTTTAATATAACATATTACAAATATAAGGATAACAAGTATTTTATTTATTGAATTATTAGTATATTATAGTATTAGTAGTAAGTATTATTAAGTTATAAAAAGGTAACTTATAAAGTCAACCTTCAAAGAATAACGGAGAGTTAAAGGGTAATTTTGATTGATTATCCATCTGTTCAGAAAGATTTTCATTATAATTCCTCTCTGTTGCTAAGCAGAAGCAGAGTTTGATAAAATTCTTTGATTTTTTTCCGTTGATACCAGATTTTTACTTGAAGTAACAAACTTGTATGATCCTGTTTATTTCTTAGTAAGTTGATAGAATTGCTATGACCTTGTTGTATATTTGACATCAACAGAGAGAAAAGTTTGAGTTTTATGATAACTTGAAAATTCAAAACCTGGTGAATGTAAAATTAATGTAACTATTTTGTTGCATATTCAAAATATTTACTAAATATGATAACTTCGCATACATATCTACAAAAATGACAATAAGCAAAACGGTGAACATTGTAAAATATTTAACATCATTATATCTTATTTATAACATGCTGATTGTCAACATTTTTCGTTACAAGTGCAAATCAATGTTTTACAGATGTTAAAGATACTCAGAACTTTCCCCGAAGCAACTATGTAATTGTCGGCTTTCACCAGATTTCAGACTTTCTTGTGTAACATTTGTTAAAAAATGGTAACGTCCGTTTACAAAATATGAAACATGTTAAAATGACTGATCTCAGCATGACGTTGCTTCTCGGATTATTCGTATATTTGTTTTAACTTAAATGATTCTTAAAACAGTTTATATTGCCTATTTTATCCTTAAAAAAATTGGTTCATCTGCCGGACCCCGTACTCGTTAAATAAGCCACAGAAAAGCCAGAAACGTTTTCTTTTTAAAGGGAAGAGTAGAAAAATATCTTCTGTCTCTTGACCATGCACATTCAGAACATTTAGAATGACGCTAATCCTGATGGATGGCAAGTGAATCATGGGAACGAGCAAAAGAATCCAGCAGCTCCCTTTATCCTTGATGGCCTGTCCGTCTGTCCAGTTCACAAATCGAAGCTGGCTAAAGGAACAGAATCTTCTCTCCCTTGGCCAATCTAATTTAGCCATCCAGGATTGGGACACTACTCTGCAAAATTCCTTAGTTAAATGGGACACTGACAGAAATGCCTATGTAACTAGCATTGGCAGCAGTATCCCTTGGTCCTTCTGCAAGTTAAGATAAATTGGTGAAGCCCTTCCCTCCCTCTTTTTTTGCAGTCCCTTTTTGGACGCATCTCTGATTGGAGACAGTCGAAATTCGTTTTTATCTTCCTCCTTTTTGCTTGGCTCTGTCGTTTACATTCTAATAGTGCCAAGTGTCGATGTGCTAGACTTTCCTATGTATGTAATTGTTGGAATAGTATACGAGAGCTTTCCATCTTTTTCCGGGTGCTGAAAGGGGTTATTCACAAATTTAGTGGACGTATTTTGATGATCTGTTTGACAGTGGCGTAGACTGCAGGTGACAATAAATTACAATGTTCCCGAGCGCAACCCTAGAGGGACTCCAAATTCCTAAAAAATAACCAAAAAGGAATTTCAAAGTAAAATGTGTTTCTTTTAAATACGTCTCATTTTCTTACTACGGATTCAATTTATTCAATTTTTTTTCCAATTAACATAAAAACTGAATAGCATGTCTATTATTATTGTAATTTGAATTGTCCATAAGTTAAATTTGTTTTAAATTAATTTAGCAAATTGGTAACACATTGTATGAGAAAATATCTTTAAAATAAACACTTATCATTCAATTAAAAGTAGTAAACATCTAAGTGTAATGGAAACTACATTAGTAGCAATTTTAAACCGAATGAACGTTTTTACGTTCGCTAGTTACGTTGTTTTAAAAAATCTGTATTTAAAGTTGTAAAACCTTATTCAATGTAAAATTTAATGAATAAATTCAGTTTTACATAATCTGAAGCTTAAAATCATCTCGAAAAGTCCCTCTAAGAATGATATTATATCATCGATATAAATATGTATAAAATGTAGCATGTCAGGGGTCGCAAAAACTCCGTTTGTCTCTGAGGGCTGTAAGGGGGGATAGAGAGGTTATAATATAGCCATATATAAGTACATAAGTATTTATAGTAAGGAAATTAATTTTTTATCTTAAATATTTGTTTTCAAATACAGACTTAAATCCAACCGGAATTTTTAGAAGTTTAAACGATGTCACTCAAATATTTATGTTCAAAACTGAGCAAACTTTCACCATCAAATGAAGTAATTAAAAAAAAATCAACCAATTATACTCAGATTCAAATAACTCATATCCAATCAGAAAAATTTAATCAGTTAATTTACAATTCATTACTGAGATTTCTTTGCTATTCTTATAATTTAATTATCATCTTTATTATCATTTAATTTTACTACTGAGATCGTTTAAGGCCTAACTCTTATTTTAGTTCTTCATTGAATATATCATTTTTGGATAAACACTGGCCCAACGAACAGAAAGTGCATAACATTTCTTTAAACAGTTATAGCTGACTACGGCATTTGCTTTCGTTAACTTGAGTGCATAATATCAGTTAAGTTTGCCGCTCTAAATAGCCTATTTCGACTCTTGCACCATTTAACCTTACATTCAATCTAGTACTTTTGCATGTAATTGAAAAGAAAAGTGTTTTCTTTTTTTAAAGAATCGTGTTCCGACGTCTGAGTTTATTTTTGAAATCAAAGATTGTCTATATTAAAGAATAAAATTTCTTTATTTGAATGAATTTGAATATTCAGAGATTTATTATACTTTTTTTTGGTACGAATTAAACCCCAAATCTGAAAATTTGACAAATATTTTAATTCTAAAATTCTATTCAAATTCGTTTCAATTTAAAAGATAAGATTTCCTTGTCTTGTATTTCTATAATAATTTTTACATTTGTTGCTAATTTTCCTTTGATGGAATATTCTACCACCTGTATATAATTCATAAACGCTTAAAACAAAGAATATTTTTAAAAACTTATATGACTCGTCAAATTTGAAACTCCATAAATCGAATTTTTTCATGCCAACACATTTAAATCCTTTAATTTAAAAGCACATTAAATGATACTGGTAATATTACGTTCCGAATTTGCATACTTAATCGTTTATGCTGCACATGTTTCAATATTTCATATTGCTTCACTGATTCGTTCGGAATTTTTAGTAGATTTGATTTAATATAAATAACCCCCCTGACTTCCTGCAGATTTGGATTATCTTATAAGAAATCGATTGTGAAATCTTGATTCATCATAAATTTTGTTAATACAAATAATCTCCAAGTTACCTTAGAGATTTAAATAATCCTATAGGGAATCTATTGGCACGTAGATTTACTTTAGGTTTTGTTTTAAATAGTTTGATGTCCTATAAGTTTCGATAAGTGTAAAAGGGATATAATGTTGTATCTAGATTTTTTTCTTGATATAGTTAAATAAAACAATCTCACTGGTTTACCATATAATTCGATAATATCATGGATAATCCAACGTGAAATCTAGATTTTCCTTAGATTTGGTTTAATATAAAATTCTCCCATGATTCCCTATTGATTTAAATGGAGAATCTAATTCCACCTAGATTCTCTTTATTTTTTGTTTCACACAAGTTGTCTCAATCATTTCCCATACCTTCCGACAATTTTATAAATGTTATATCTAGCTTTTTTTATAGATATTGTTAGATAAAAACAGTTCCAATGATTTCCGATACAATTGGATAAACGTCGAAAATCGAATGTGATATCTTGATTTCTAATGCATCTAGTTTATTGTCCCTATGAATTCTTTAGATTTAGATAATCTTATAGGGTTAAATGTGGACTCCCCATACATTTCATATCATTAAACAAATAATATAACTAGATCGGTACCCATTTTTAGAGTCCATATATAGATAGTACCCATTCCAAAGACGAAATACCAGAAGCGTCTGCTTAATTGGGTTTTAATTTAAATGGCGATTTAAACTAAGCAAGCTAGATTATATTTCACGGATAATCATACTGTCATTTAAAGTATTATAACTTAGTTGAAAACAAAAGCATAAAATACTCTTAAACATGTCAAGTATTTTATTTATTTTTGTGCTTTTACTCAAATATAAATCTCATTGGGGAAGAAAAATTTATAAAATATCTCATTCTCACTACAGCGACAAAGGATAGACGATTTCCTAGAAATTTGATTCTCAAATAAATCCATCTAAGTCTACG